GACATTGTAGCCAGCATTTCGGCTTAGTCTCACAAGGGGACATGTTTAGAGGGAATGGGAACTGGAGGAACCACGTTAATTTGAATCTGTCATAAAGAAGCAAAGAGAAGTAGCAAAAAATGAGTGATAATCAGGTTTGTACTTTAGCCTGGAGATTGGAGGCTTCCCACTTCCCCAGCCTGAGTCTTTTACTAAGTGACACTGAGAATGTGTTACCTTTTTTGTGCTAAAAAATGGAACAGAAAGTATGCCAGCCACCTCCCTCACCTTTCCACTGCATGTGCAGTCTAGTGGAAAGGCACTACCAGTGGTTTTACTTTGGGGTTTTTTATCCCTCAGACTCTCCCAAAGTATCTCCTGGAATATACATCTGATCTGAGACTTTATTAATCTTCTTGCACAAAAAGTAACTTTTTTTAATCTGGAGGGGGATCTAAACTGCTTGCACTGGCTTATGTAACTTCAGGCGGGCATTTTAAAGTAAAGGGTTTCTGTGAAATGCAGAGAGCAAAGTCCTTCCTCCTACCTAGATCAACCGCCAGCATAGCGACAAAATACATGCTGGTTAGCATTTTTTGAAGAGACAGTTCAACCTAGTATGACTGTGCTGTGGGTTGGTTAAGTAGCATGGTATGACAGTGCATTTCCGGACTGACACTGGTGATATTGCAAACCAGAGAAATGTTTCAGTGATGGTCTAGTTCCTCTTTCTTTTTTTCTGGCCACTGTGTCTAGCAAGCTCTAGATCTCTGCTTATCCTGTTTTTCCTAGAATTTGGTCCTGGTTACTGCATAAATGGCAGTTGGGGACTTCAGTTAGACTCTCAAATAGGGTCAGAGAGCTATAATGTAATGCTGCTTTGGTCCCATGGCATGCCAGGCCCACAGAAGATCAGCAAGGGAAGTAAAATTCTATTGGGCACCAACGAGAACATGGCCTGTTCACTTAGACTCAGTAGCTGGTGCCTATACAAGGACTTATCCCAGATTGTATAATGAATTGTAGGCTACTTGTTTGCTGACCCCTGAGCACAGAAAGCAAAAGAGTGAGAATGGCAGAGCCATGGCAGACCATGTAGGGTGCCTCAGGGCACTCTCCACAGTTCATTTCAGCTTCCCAGACCCTCACCTGCCGCTGATCAGCTCATATGTAGGAGGTGTGTCCTGCCCACCTACCCAGGGAGAGTCAGCCCTGCTTTGGCATCACCTGTGTCAGCCGCTAGCAGATTGACCCTGTGTTGCTAAAGGCTTTTATCCACACTTTAGTCAGGGAAAGGTAGCTGATTGTTTGATTGTTTGGAATATAATTGTTCTCTAGAAGGGAAAGGACATAGTGGCCTTGACCCAGGTGCCCGGCAGGCTTGGCCAGCAGAGTGCAGCCCCCCCTGCTTCCTGCCCCTCTCTTAGTTTTCCCCTGGCTGCCCCCTTGGCATGTGCTGGTCCAGCTCTGCCTTTCTGTGGGGGGTCAGGACAAAGTGGAGTGACTGAACAGGGGGAATGGCTGCTATTCTCACTTGTGGTCTGGGATACACGAGCAGCATCTGTGAGGGATAATTCTGTTGCTGCACCAGTCCCCTGCTATTGCCCCATGGCCCATTGGCACCTGGCACTGTCCAGCAGCTGAAAAGGGAGGGAGGTCCATTGCTCTCCTTGGCCTACAGCAATGCTGCCTGCCACCCCTTCCGGTCACAGTCTGAGCACTCTCAGCTGTGCCTGTCCCTAAGACGCTATGAGGACTGCAGCCTGGCTACAGACCTGATTCCTGGCACCTTCAAAACTCATGGGGCTGGTCACTTTACAACAGGAGGCTGTCTAAAAGGCACTCCCTCACTCCGGTAGGCAGGACCACTTTAGCTACGTCCTTTGGGGAAAAGTCTGGGAGCGTCTGTCAGTAATGATCAGGGATCCAAATTTTCCATTTCCCACGGAAAAATGGAGAAAACCACAGATTTTCCCCTTTACTAAAGGAAAACATGGATTTCTCATTTTACCAGGGAAACTCAGGGATTTTGCAGTTTTGCAAAGAGCAATCTGCAGGCTGGCAGAGTTCCAGGCTGCAAAGAGATGGGGGGAGCAGGAGGAGGGCAGGTCAGGCAGGGGCATCATGTGCATGTACAGTATAACCTCATATATCCAGCATGCTCAGGACCAAGCACTTGCCAGAAATTTGAAAATGCGTGGTGGCCGGTTGCAGAGTGGGGGGAAGAGGGAGAGTAGTGGTGGCCGGTCCCGGAGCAGTGGCCGCACACGGATTGGCAGCATGGGGAGGTGACTGGCAGCAGCAGCCGCCA